TGTTTTATACAAGTTGCAGAATGTTTCTTCAAACTTTGTACAAGAAATTTTGCGTTTGCTAATTTCAGAACTTAGAAAAACATTTGCTACACATTAATCTGAAAGGTTTAGCTTTTTTCTTCTCAAATGTCAAATGAGAAGTGCTCACCTGAATATAAGCTTTCAGCAGTATTGCACCAGCAAAATTTCTTGAAGATAACAGAGGGAGAAGACTGCACATTCAAACGGCTCCTTGTGAGTGCCAAAAGGTGCAGCCCCAAACACCAGTGGAGCTGTAAGGGAGGGCCTGGGATATCATCTGGCTTTTACTGCATCAGTGTATTATAGCTGTAATAGCACATCCATGCACAGACATCATCTAGCAGAACTACAAGCAAAATGTATGTCTCATAAGTATCACTGATTCAGCAATATGGTCTCTGCTCCCCCCACCCAGTCCCCAGAGTGCTTGGTCTATCCTATATGAATGTATATACACTGTAGGCTGACATCAGTATAACTTGTTTGATTTCTGAAGTCAGGATAGTGAACCTACAGGAAAAACTGCAAGGAAACAGACTGGGCTAACTCCATGTGTGTTTTCCAGCAAGCATTGGTCTTCTCAAACCAATTCTTTATATGTCTGGTGGACTTTTTTGCGGCTTGTCCTGAAGAACTGATGTTTCTGACATGTTTATGCAGATCACAGGAATATTTTTGTCCTAGATTTTTCTCATGTCTGAGGTGAGAACAGGAGGAGAGCAGTGGGCTTAGGATACTCCTGAGGCTGGAGTTCCTGTGGGTGTAAAAGCAGGCGTTACTGAAAGTCACTTTGACAAATAGGAAACATAGTTAAATGATTCAAATATTCTTCCAAATTCACCACCTCCAACCTTCCCCCCCCCCTTTTTTTCCCCTGGGGAACTGGTGACTAAGGTAAACCCCAGGCTGATATAAAGGAATTAAGTTCTCTAAGGGAATTGTATTGAATTTATCCTGTGCTGCATCACAAGGAGTGTGACCAGAAGGTTGAAGGAGGTGTTTCTCCTTTCCCTCTGCTCATAGCAACCTTCCAGTATCTGAAGGGGCTACAGGGGAGCCACAGAGAGACTCTGTTAGAAACTGCAGTGACAGGTTGAGGGGTAATGAGTACAAATTGAAAGAGGGGAAAATTAGGCTAGATATTAGGAAAAGGTTTATAACAGTGGTGAGCCACTGGCACAGGTTGCCCAGGGAGGTAGTGGATGCCCCAAGCCTGGTCCATTCCAACCCCTTAACATTTCATGATGAACTCTTAAGGGCATGCCAGTGAGTGGGGTGGAGGGGTTAGCTTTCCCTGGTAGTCCTGGACTTTGGATGGGAGGTGTTGTGTCTAAGGCAGCAGGATGACATCTGTCTCTGGGTTCTGCCCTGACAGCTGCCCTAGCCTGTGCTGTATCAGACAGGCCGAATCAGGGAGCAGGATGGCTGTTTGGCTCTCGGGGGGGAAGCACCCTTAGGTGGTGCCAGCAGAGGCAGTGGCTGCAGGAAGCAAGTACTTTTGGTCTATGCACTGAAGAGTCTGAAACTCCCAGTGAATGCAGTGAGGACAGCTCTACATGTTCAGGAGACCAGAAAGGAGATGGATCCTGAGAAAACAAATGTTTAGGGTGTTGGGCCATGTTGTACATGGTGGTTTTGTGCTTTAACCTACTCTGTATCAGGGAGTCTTGAAAATACTTAGATTGTCACTAAAAATAGCAGCCCTTAAGCTTTTAGATCCATCCAAATAATTACTATTGCAAGCCATAAATAGTTACTGTAGGATAGTTGACATTGGCTGCAATTAGAAACTGCTTTCCTGTTTCTTACTGCTTTTCTCTTTTAAAAATATCTACATACACTCAAGAGTCAAAAAAATGGTTTTAAATGCCCAGTATGAGGACAGAAGCCTGACGTAGTGGAAGATTTCAGTGTGATTTCTCCTCCACGTTTCTGAAATGGCTTCAGATTAACCTGTCCCTGTGAAGATGACAAATCCATAAATAGAAATTACTTAAAACTACACAGCTAATGCTGTGGATTTTTTCTTACTCTTATTTATTCACAGAGTGTACCACATGCACATCATTGCTGCTCCTACCAAAGGCATATTATGGAAGGAGGGCAGGAAGAGGAGTAGGTTTCTGTCATAACTGACCTCCTACAGGATTATTCTGAGACTGCAGTGACACAAGTTAGATGTGTGATAAGATTTGATTAAAAACTTCCACTTTAAATATTCAGAGGGTTATTATAGAGGGAGTTTGGGCACTTCGTTTCTTAGTGATTTTGAGTAGAAATTATGGTAAGGCTTTTGTTAAAGCTGCCCCTTGAGTTTGCAGATACCAAGGTACTTCTGGTATGCTGCTCTCAGAAACTGGACCTGTTCTAAATGCTTGCAGTTTTCAGGTACTGTTTCTTCCCTCATTTGATCTTGTGTGGCTCTTCTGTGTTATAAATCATCTTGGGTTGGAAGGTTTTGATTAATTTCAGTACCATTTGGTATGAACTTCATGATGTATCTGAAGTATGGCCCAGTTGTAGCTAACCAGAGCCCTAAGAGGAGGGAACAGCTGCATTCACAGCATTAGTGTCTGGCAGATTTACCAAGGAGATGTGTTGGCTCTGACACAGACTGACCAAATCCGCCTGGACCCAGAGCATTGACGGGCCAGATTTATTAAAACATAAAAAAAATGCCAACAAAATGCCAACAACTCTGAGCTTTATAGTGTATGTTCTCTGAGGGTACCGTCTAAAATTGTATGTAACTGGTGGACTTAGGTGTGCATTTAGACAGGCTCCAAGCAGCAGCTGCTTTAACTCAAGAACATGTCTTTCCCGGTACCTAAGGAACAGGAGGTGTATGCAACCTCAGAGGCTCTGCTATTCCCAAGTGGCACCAAAGAGAGCAGCTGCATATAAAGTGATTTAATACTGAACACATTTACTACACTCATTTCTATCAATTTATTTTGTATATATAGCTTTTTATATGCATTTTTCTTAATTACATGACTGTCATGAACCATAATGAAGCTACGAGTTGTAGTTTGTTTTAATGCTGATTTAAACTGGTGTTTGGCTGTTTGTTTTTTGCAGCAATTACTTGAATCTTGTTTCCATTAGGTAGTGAAGTCTGATATTGTTTACAGGATTGCTTTCTTTGGTTGTGGGGGGTTTCCCCACCTCCTGCCCCAAGAAACAGAGAGCTCATGCTCAGCAGTCAAGCACATGTGTTGGGGATGGAGTGTTTGGATCACCTTTGTCGTCACCAAAGCATTAGTGGTGACATGCAGGTTCCCTTCCATTTACATTCCTCAGCTGACAACTTACAGACTCGGTGTAGTCCTCTGGTTACTCCTGTCCCTTAACCTGTTGTTATCAGTTTTACTGTGAGGAACTGAAATCTTTCTGAATGACAATTTACAGTCATAAGGCTATCCCAGACAGCATGCCTGCTGTTGAGTCTGCCCCCTCTCCCTGTCCTCTTTTTAACTTGAACAAAACACCTCTGGGTTCTCTCTGCAATTACTTTTGTGTTTGCCAGCAAGGCTTATCACCATTTGCACTAATCACCATGTCTCACCTGTTCTACTTCCACAGTTATTCCTAATTGTGCTGCCTCAACTTGGAATGAGCTGTGTTTAAGTTTGGGGTAATGTGCTAAGAGATACATGTGATAACGACACACTTGTTGTATTTGTTTTGTATGTTACAGATAGGACTAGTCCTATGCACAGAGAAAAAGTTGCCATTTATAGTTTAATACTTGAAGTAACTTTTTAAAATGGGCTTTTATAAATGAATTAAATACAGAATCACATTGCTTTGCCTGGAAGTTCCTTCATGTTTGAATTGTATTTGCAATTCCCTGTATGTGTACTTTTCCATAGAAGTTATCTTAAGCCATTTATAACCAATGCAAGTGCATTCAGGATTTTGTACATCAGTGTTCAGACCTGTTCGTACTTCTCTGAAGTACAGTTCATGTTTAAATAAGTACCATTTTAAGCCTCTTTTCCAAAGTGATATGAATGGACTTGACACTTGAATTGTTCAGTGAATGCAATGACAACTTAATAAAAGTATGTGAAAGAACCTGAGACCTGCTCCTCTGTAGCTTGTGTGTATTCGGTCAGGGAGAACAGCTGCCTGCCTGGGGAACACTGCCTAACTGGTCCGCTTTTTACGCTAGGATTACACTCACTCTTGATACATCTTCCAGGTCACTGGGCCTTGAGGGGAAATGAAAAGCCTGACTTGTGCCTAACTGTGTTCCTTCAGGACACCAAGCCTGACACAGAAGTCAGGCTGCCACTCAAACGGGGATCAACCGTGCTCCTTTTACGTCAGAAACTCTCTCTGTGGGAGGGCAGGAACACTCGACACTGACATGACAGTGACACTGGCATTTAAATTCAGCAAATCTTTTCAGAAAGTGTAAAAAAAAACCCCAAAACCAGTACATCTTATGATAGTCTATGAGTTCCAGCTCATACCCCTGTCTGTGATTCCAGTTCACCTTGGTTCTTGCATGCTTGAGGGCAAGTATCATCAGCTGTGTCTCGAGTACTGCTCTGGGTGGAAGAATCCCTTTAGTAGGGAGTGACCAGCAGGAGCCATCTGGCCAGGACCAGCAGATAACCCTGTCCCACACAGCAGGTGTGCTCTCCAGGCTTCCAAAAGGAAATCAGTGGAGCTATAAATCTAGTTTATCTATAAATCATCCCCACTGCACCTGGTAAACCATTTCAAGCCCTGAAGAGCAGAAGGAAGGTAGAGAGCCACACAAAGAATTGCCCTTTTCTAACAAGACAAAAACAACAAACCATAGGCTGTTTCATAGGAACACTTTTAATTGAACACTTTGTTTACCATGGCAAAGTCCCATTTGTCACCTACCCTTATCATACTGAATCACTAGACTACCATAATGGGTATGAGAGCAGATTCCACGGCAGTGCACAACACGTGCAAACACAGACATGCCATGTTATTCAAGTCCATCTCTTGGTCACGTTTAAGTGGTTTAAATCGTCACTGAGGTATCTGTGCTCAGGAAACTTGGATTGCTTCAGGGTTTTGAAAGCTTCCCACCTGGCACGTCTCTCCTCCGTGTTGTGCCTGTACTCCTGCTCCTGCGTCAGGTACGGTCGGCTCAGCCAGTACTCATTCTCTGCCTCGATTTCCAGCCTCCGGATCATCGCCTGCTTCATGCAGATGGTCACCTGTCTCGGTCGCCGGTACTTCCCAATCCACTGGTGTCCAGGGATTCTCTTCCGGAGCAATACCGTTGTTAAAAACATTGTGCTTTAAAATACAAACAAAACCAAGAGAAGTTAGAAGCTCCGCAGGCACGTACTCCACTGCCTCTTGCTGCCTGGGGTGAGGTTCAGGCTCAGAACCATTACAGACAGTGACTGCACAACGCCACATGGGCTGGAAACTTTAGAGTGGAAAAGGGAAGCTGAAATCCTTGTGCACCTCAAGAATTTCCTCAGTTATCCTTACACTGACATCAATGCATGTCTCTATGAAGTACTTAAGAAAGATCCAGTCCTGGATACTCTAAGGATTCACTTCAGCTTCTTCAAACAGGTCACTACATTATCCAAACAGGGAGTGCTTCCAGGTCTGGCTTCTAGATCTAAACCTGGCCCTTCCTCAGCACTAGGCTTTGAGCTACAGTATCTCCATGAACTCATTGGTAAGCAATTATCTAGTCCCATACTCCTAACTGGGGAAGATCTGGTTGCTAGAGCCAGCTGGTGTGGGCAGACAGCACTGACACTGACACAACACAGAGCAAGGAAGGCCACATTATGTTTAGATTTTACAGACATCAGCCAGGGGCTACAAGGGAGCTGGAGAGGGACTCTTTGTTAGGAACTGCAGTGACAGGGCAAGGACAATGGGTACAAATTGAAAGAGGGGAAATTTAGGCTAGATATTAGGAAAAAGTATTTCCCTGTGAGAGTTGTGAAACACTGGCACAGGTTGTCCAGGGAGGCTGTGGATGCCCCAACTCTGGCAGAGTGCAAGGCCAGGTTAGATGAGGCCTTGAGCAACCTGGGCTGGTGGGAGATGTCCCTGTCCATGGCAGGGGGGGTTGGGACTAGATGATCTATAAGGTCCATTCCAAGCTCTATAACCCTGTTTATTAGCGCTAAACACGCCTAACCCCCACGTCTCATTGCAGAGCACCTCAC